CATGGAGGTTCCATGAAGGTTCCATGGAGGTTCCATGGAGGTTCCATGGAGGTTTCTACTTTTTCATAGGATTGAATTCTAAAATTAAATTTCTCGAAACCGACACCCCCTTGGAGAAAAAAGTGCATGTCATCTATGCAGATTTATGTTGATTTCATGTAGTTTCCATACATGATTGATGTAGATACCATGGACTTTTCAGATTGGTTTCCCGGTGGTTCTGGTAGACTCACTGATGCAGGTTCCATGGAGGTTTCATGGAGGTTCCATGGAGGTTCCATGGAGGTTCCATGGAGGTTCCATGGAGGTTCCATAGAGGTTCCATGGAGGTTCCATGGAGGTTCCATGGAGGTTCCATGGAGGTTCCATGGAGGTTCCATGGAGGTTCCATGGAGGTTCCATGGAGGTTCCATGGAGGTTCCATGGAGGTTCCATGGAGGTTACATGGAGGTTCCATGGAGGTTCCATGGAGGTTCTGTGAAGTTTTCATGAACATCCCTGTACCTGCAACTTCTACTTTTTCATAGGATTGAATTCTAAAATTAAATTTCTCGAAACCGACACCCCCTTGGAGAAAAAAGTGCATGTCATCTATGCAGATTTATGTTGATTTCATGTAGTTTCCATACATGATTGATGTAGATACCATGGACTTTTCAGATTGGTTTCCCGGTGGTTCTGGTAGACTCACTGATGCAGGTTCCATGGAGGTTTCCATTGGAGTTTCCAGGGAGGTTCCATGGAGGTTCATGGAGGTTTCCATGGAGGGTCCATGGAGTTCCATGGAGGTTCCATGGGAGGTTCACTTCCCTATCCCCCCACCTTTCGCTCTCTCTTCCTCTAAACATCACTAGTCCACACTACTTCACCCCATTTCCTTGCTCTTCCCGAACCATGGAGGTTTCACCCCTCCAGGGAGGTTCCATGGAGGTGCCATGCGGTTTTATGTGTTTTTAAGCGTTCACCATGTCGTATTGGTTATAAGTATATTTGATGCAGTTTGATGGAACCTCCATGGAACCTCCATGGAACCTCCATGGAACCTCCATGGAACCTCCATGGAACCTCCATGGAACCTCCATGGAACCTCCATGGAAACTCCATGGAACCTCCATGGAACCTGCATCAGTGAGTCTACCAGAACCACCGGGAAACCAATCTGAAAAGTCCATGGTATCTACATCAATCATGTATGGAAACTACATGAAATCAACATAAATCTGCATAGATGACATGCACTTTTTTCTCCAAGGGGGTGTCGGTTTCGAGAAATTTAATTTTAGAATTCAATCCTATGAAAAAGTAGAAACCTCCATGGAACCTCCATGGAACCTCCATGGAACCTCCATGGAACCTCCATGGAACCTCCATGGAACCTCCATGGAACCTCCATGGAACCTCCATGGAACCTCCATGGAACCTCCATGGAACCTGCATGGAACCTGCATCAGTGAGTCAACTAGCACCACCAACCATAGAAACAGGGAATGCCTTCAAAACCAACCTGAAGACTCCCTGGAATCTACATCAAACATCCATGCAATCTGAAAACACATGTAGGTGAGCACAGGTAGGTAGAGACAACTAGTTGATCTCAAATTTATTTGGTGCAAATCGATCGTAAATCGATGCAAATCGATCGTAAATCGATGGAAAAAACACAACATAATGTAATCGCATCTGCGCATTTTGATGTCGTTTTCAGGCGGTCATTTGTCTGTGTTGATGTTGTTTTCTGTTTCTGGATTGAAAACTCAAACTCTTCCAAAAAACATAAACAAGTATTTAAAATCACGTGTTTTTTTGAGTTGGTGGTTTCGATTTTTGGCAAGGTTTCATTTGTGAATTTTATATTGATGTCATTTTGATGGATATTTATTGAAAATTGATGTCAAATTGATGTAGTTTACTAACATTGGCTATTGGCAAATCAACCTAAAAAAACGAAACCACCAACTGAAAGGAAGTTCACTTTGAGCTGCTGGGATGCCAGGATCCTTACACTCTATGAATATATATGAATTGGCAGGTGCCATTTTCTAGATGCTCTAAGTCTCTGTCGATGTCATACTGATGTCGTTTTATGGCACTATTATTTTGTTCTAGGTCGATGTCAAATCGATCGACAATCGATGCAAAATGATCGTAAAACAGCGTCGAAATCCGAACCAGCCTCTGCTGCCACGTCAGCCTTCAGAGTGAAGAAGCCTGGGAGTCCTACCCGTTTGTGCTCTGCTTGCACCGCCTTGTAGAGGTCAGTCACCTTGCTGACTGGGATGGGAATGTCCAAGTTGGTCTCCACCCCCAATGCACCTGCAGAACCAGAAAAAGGCCATTGTTGTCTTCTTCCAAAGGTGATGCCAGACCCAGAAGAGTAACAAAGACCAAATAATGATAATGATGAAAGTGAGCATGATGTTCTTGATGATGACAATGACGATGACGATAACGATGATGACAATGACGATGACTATGACGATGATGATGATGATGACGATGATGGCGGTGACAGTGACGATGACAGTGACGATGATAACGATGATAATGATGATGATGACGATGATGATGATGATGAACTGCGTCAGAATTAGATTATTGGATGATGCTGTCCTGATACATGAGACAAACTGTGCATGGGATGATGATGTCCCATCAAAATTATTCGATGCAAACATGTTGGTTACTGGGCACTGTTTGCAAACACAAGACAACACAGTGCAGAGGAGGCACTGTGCAAGCTGCAGACCAGCTGACACTTCGTCATACGACTGGTGACAAACGGGTTGGCGTCGACTGGGTAACAAAGATATAGCATCTCTGCTACCCTGGGCCAGACAACCTTAACTCCAGTTTTTCAAGGCTCTTTGAATCATGATGCTTATAGAAATCATGAAAAAGAGACAACAGACTGCAGCAATGGACACCTAATCTTAGCCTAAATGCATGTCACACAGACAGTCGCCTAACATACTTCAATGATGATTTCTGAAAAGAGACTCACGCAGCTTGCGGCTGCTGGTGGCCACGTACTCGTCAGACAGGTCCGGCTTGGCCTTTTTGTTCTTCTTTCGACGTGGTTGTCTTTTGCAACCAATCCTCATGCCGAGATTGATGATTAAAGAGAGAAAACCTGCAGATATCTTCAATCAATGTGCAATACCCTAGTGCCTATTTCTACTTTACGTACTAGACACTTTCCACAAAGAAAAACGCCATCAATGCATCCAGGATCGGTTGCCAGATCTTTTCAGTCAATAGATCTTCCTCCTCTTTGACATCTTCAGCCTCTTTTTCAGACACGTCAGGCGTCTCCTTCTCATTATCGTCAGACTCCCGGTCATCATCCCCAGCATTCTGGTCTGACGATTTTTTCCTTCTTCTGACTGACTTCGGAGAGGCCTTGGCCTTGGCCTTCCTCCTGGGCGTCGCAGTAGCATCCGCCTTCGTTTTTGCCATGACGAGGATGTGCCCTTGAGTTTGAACAGCTAGCACTGATCAACTTCAGACTCAGCCGACACTTGTTTGACAGATCTCAATGATGATAAAGTGTGTGAGGTATGAGGCATGGAGTTGTTTGAGACTTCTGCAAAAACATATGATGACTTCTCACTCATGCCATTTTCAATACCATTGTACGTCCGACAAATCGAGCAACATTTGCTATATAGATCAGAGTCGAATGCAGTTTTCCAGATCAGTGAGGTTTTCAAGATCGAGGTAAAACAGCGTCAAAATCCGACATCAGCAAAATGAACCTGCTGATATTTTCTGGTACAATCTGGAATCCAAGATGAAAGAGACAAACCAAATCTCAACAAGACCAGGGAGATGTGGAAGCCAAAAACTCTGACCTCATCATTTCAGACTGTCAAGAGTCAAACGCAGCAAAACCACACATCTGGAAGACTACATTCAACTCTGAACTATGACCCCTCATCAGAGGAGGGTTCAAATAAAAAAATACTATATAGCACATCCAATCCAGAACCCTGATCTCGTTGTTTTTAACGGTCAAGAGTCAGACACAGCAATAAGACGTGTGAGACTCTGATCTCGTTTTTTAACGGTCAAGAGTCAGACACAGCAATAAGACGTGTGAGACTCTGATCTCTTTTTTGAACGGTCAAGAGTCAAACACAGCAAGACGTCTGAGACTCTGATCTCGTATTTGAACGGTCAAGAGTCAGACTGACATATTATAGCAAGACATGATTTGGAAGCTGAGACACTCTGATTCTCAAGAGTCAGACAAAATAGCAGCAAGACAAGGCTGTGAGGAGTATTACTCCGACAGACGGCACATGCATCATATTGCCTCGGTGAAGTGTGTACACAAGTGAGCTCAATCAAGGAATCATGTCACCAATTTGAAGTGTCAGATTATCAGTGATTGATTCAAGTCAACCGATCAGAAAATAACAATGATTCATGATGATTGAATTTATCAAGTCAAGAGTCAAAGAATTTGAAAATGAGCTGCAACAGAAACAAACATCTCTGATTGGACCTCAACCAAGCATCCAACAACTTTGGCAAAGTCCATTCCCATTGGGGGCAAGAACTGTCTGACGCGTGCATAGTCTGCCGTCTGCTGGGTGGCTGGAACCCCAAATGCAAGCAGAAGCTCAGCAGGGAGCAGGTACCGGCCTCTGTAGGGGCTCCAGAGCTTCGAATTTGTCCTTGGGCAAGGAATACGCCCACTTGCTGCCGACCAAGTGCTCCGGGTTGTCGGCTCGTCAGACAAATTGAAGACAGCTGACCTAGCCAGTCTGGCAGGATACTGGTAGGTGCGCTCCCACAACCTGATTTTGAATGTTTAAACCTGCTACCACGACAACAGCTGCAATTAATCATGGAATCCTATGTGCATGAGCCACTCTGTGTGAATAGCTGCAAGAGTTAGATCCATGATATAAATAGTAGTCAGTAAAAAAACATACCAACACTTATAATATGTTTAATATTTCTGAGAATTAAAAACAGCTTGAACTGCCTTTAAATTAAATCAACTTTATTAAACAGGATCTGAAGCAAAAAAAACTTGAGAAGGGTTCAACTGAATCATGTGGAAGATTCTCCTCATATCTCGTCAGGCGTTCTTGCTCGCCGAATCCAAGGACAGTTCGCCTGACGTCCGCCCGACGAGTTTCAGGATCATTGCCAGACCATTGCCAGATGGGATCTCCTCTGCGCAATGCTTGACGTCTGACTTCCTCCTCCACCTCCTCATCTGTGGCGATGAAGAACTCGTCAGGACTATCCACATGGTTCCAGTTGTTGATCTGTGTGATGAACAAGTCATACATTGCTGCAGGGTTGGTAGTCACACAGGTTTTCATTCGATGAAAACCGATCACATAGGACCTCTGCCTGGAAATCGCTGACATGCCGACATGACTTGCGTCCACGTAGATCGGAAACAAAGCATAGATGTCAGACAACTCGTCAGACAGGAAGCTTGCTGGAAACTGACAGACATTCTCGTGGATGATGATACGAGGTTGCAGGTGCCTCATTGTCTTACAGTACGCCTTGAAGACAGAAGACCTGGGCCCATGGCACCCCAACCTGTTGCCACAGGGAGAATGGTCCTGGCAAGGACTTCCAGTTACGTCCACATCTATGTCACCGTCAGACACTCTACACAGACGTCGATGCGTCAGACAAGGGATTTCTGGGGAGCAGGGCCTTTCCAACATCACCTCCACTTGCTGCTGAGGCAAACTGCTCAGCATCTGCCCAGGATCCCCTAACGTCTGAAAATCATGCCACCGATGAAAGATGTCAGAGACCATATGCACAGCAGCTTGATGCTGTGAGTACAGGAGCATCTGACAAGTAGCGTCTCTCTCCTCAGTCAGACAGTGACACAGAGGGAAAACATTATCTATCAAAACACTGTAATTTTAAAACTTGATGGGTATGTAACAATGTATATATATATAAATATAATATAAGTTGGGATAAGAGCCAACTCCTAAGGTTTGCTGCCATGTAGTAGTTGAATGTAGAATATCTGGTCAAAGATACTGTTAAGATCGCAGCCATCACATGTAATTCACATGTTTTCTATGAATACTATCAAGTGGGCATGCACGACTCCCATGTGCAGTATTGGGTGTGGAGATTTGGTCAAATTTGTACCAATGTAGCTGGGAGCAGGTTAAGAGTGCTTGGTGATATGGTCAGGATGAAAGCCAAGCTGGTCATAGTTGTGGTTGGGATGGGGGGTTGTTCCTTACTGACTCTCATGCACAAAGCTAGGTGTAGACTAGTAGACTAAAGTGTGTTTTAGGATAAATTCCAGTTACCATCTTGAATTGTCCTTATCATCATCAGCATTTCAGCTGGGTAATCATTGAATCGCTCAGCACTTTGCTTGCAAAAAGCCGAGCATCACAGACAAGTACTGGCCGCAGCTGGCATGGGACGCCCCAGGCGTTGCAGGCAGCAGCAATGATGTCAGACCTACAGCTGGACTTATCTGAACTGCTCACTGTCATGGAACACATGGCTGTCCTTTTATCCCTGGTTGGTTGATAAATAGAGGGTGTATCCCAAATAAACCAACAAAAGGTGAATGATGGTAAATGGCACTGTCTATTTATACAAAAAGGACACCTATGCCTGAACATGCATTCATCTGAAGCTCATGACACCAAGACACGATACTTCTGCTGAGCCACACCCACTGCAATGGCTGGACAAACGAGCAGCCTGACAAAGCCCAGTGTTGAGCACTCCTTGCCCAAAGCGAGCCAGCAAGGTCCTGACACAGACTGCTGCCCAATGGAAGGACTTCTGCAGCGAGCTGACGTCATAGTCCATTGCTGCAAAATGATAATAAATGCCAGACACAAAAGGTCAGACACAAGGCATGCTGTATTACACCATGGCCTGTGTTTTGGTCATGCCATGCAACTCCTTTGACAAGCATTTGCATGTGTGAAATTCATTCAATTCATGTCACAAAGTTCCAATCTACCCTACTGCAAGACAACAACATTGTTTGCACAAAAAATATGTGTTTATTCATCCACCTGTTTATAACCTGGCTGTGTCATGTCAGTTCGTATTAAAAACTTCACTTGATCAAATTGTTGCAGTTTGATAGTGCTGCAAGTGACTCAGAATGCAGACTGCTTGCACTGCCTCGCCTTGCCCCCATCACAACAAACTTCACATAACAGAACATCCTCCTGCTAAGTCTATAGCATCTAAAGAAATTGAGCGCTGGATGGCAACTTGTTTTTTCACAACTCTCGGACTCGTGGCCGTGGTCAGACAGCAGTCAGGACAGCTAAGACTGAGTGTCTGGCACTCAATTCCCCAAAACTGTTCTATAAGCTGCTGCCAGACAAGATTTTCCGAATGGCTGCAACAGTCAGACAGTCTGACATTCACTCTGGCACGATCTGATCTTACCCAATTTTTTGAAATAATAATAATAATATAAATAAAGAAATTAACAGTTTTTAACAAGAAATATTTTAAAACCAAGGAATTGGTAACTGGTATTAAAACAAGGACAGGAACCAACAATGCAACGAACTCCTTCTGTCAGACAAGTTCAAAATTCAGATGAAGCCAGGCAACCAGACAGCATCAGATGCTGTTCACAAGTCTTAGTCCTCGCTTTTGCTTTTGAAGCATGGTGTCAGACTTGAGCTTGCCAGGACTGTCAGGCATCTCACCTGGCATCTGGCCTTTCATAGGCATCTGGACTTTCATAGGCATCTGGCCTTGCATAGGCATCTGGCCTTGCATAGGCATCTGGCCTTGCATAGGCGTCTGGCACTGCATAGGCATCTGGCCTTGCATAGGCATCTGGCCTTGCATAGGCATTTGGCCTTGCATAGGCGTCTGGCACTGCATTGGCATCTGGCCTTGCATAGGCGTCTGGCATTGCATGTGCATCTGGCCTTGCATAGGCGTCTGGCATTGCAT